TACATAGGTTTACGAAAATATATATACAGTTTGGTCCGCAGCAAGTTATGATCAGTGCCAAACTCGGCTCAACGCAATACCCGTGTCACGCGCACTTCACACATATCACGCTGACGTACGATGACATATTAGAGCAGGTGAGCGTGACCACTCTCCGTGGGTGCGTCCAAGTTGCTATATCAGTCGAGCTTAATGCAAACCGGATGTTCGTGATCGTAAGGCCGTGAGTGGCACACAGTGAGAGCACACTGTCACCGTTTGCATTCTCTGAACCAATACTATGCGAGCCTATATTATCTGTACGCATCGATGTATTACGCCCAACGCGCGCGTTGTAATCACCCAGCAGAAATAGTCGGTCGCTCCTCTGCACAGACTGCATCACGGAGGATAGCTGAGTGTAGAATTGATTACACGTGTCATCAGGATAAAACATGGTCGGACCGTATGTGCTTTTAAAGGCGGCTAGCTTGCCTCTTCCAAATCTTGTGCGAACAGTCATCAGTCGCGCGCAGATGCCTTTTGGTTCACCCACCAGCTGGCCATGGAGGCGATAGGATATTGCGAATCCGACCCCATGATCACGTGGTGTTGAGGCGGCGTTGCCCACTCAGTAGAATGTGTAGCCTGCACCGGCTTCATGCAACTTACCTTGCTCAGCGAGCCGGGTTTCACTGAGCGCCGCAATATCGATGTGGTAGCGCGCCAGTTCCATCGCGACCACTGCAGTGCGTCGCTCAGGGTGCTCACTCGAGTTCCGGTCCAGTAGTGTGCGCACTTTCCAGCACCCGATGCTGAGTGCTTTGCGCGCAGGCATACGATTGCATTAGTGGGCATTCGCACGCGAGGTGGTGGAGGTGTTTTTGAGGTTTGCTTGAGGGACTCCACCCGGAGCCTTTGGCTCAATAGCCTGACCCACAAGACGGTGGGGAGCAGATCCAGCTCGGGAATGTGATTGCAGAGACAGATTGGGATCTGCTTGACGGCCGTCACATGCAGCCTTTGAGGTACTGGAACGATTCATATATGTTTTGCGACCGTAGTAAGATAAGCACCTGCGACCACGGCCAGACGCAGGTGGGTTTTGGCGGGTTTGCACCAATTTGACCAGGGGCTGCCTGGCTTGAGGCGGGCAGTGGCAAACCATTGAACACCCGGAGGTGTCCTTCCACCGTCAGAGACAATGTGTGGCGCTCGTGCTCTACGCCAATCTAGCTGTGAGCTTATAACCCGTAGACCTGTTGTCTCCCATGGCTAGGTTTTACGGGAAGAGGGCCATCGACCACTTCCTAACCTCCGAAGAGGATGGACTAGGATACTGGCGGGACGCCCAGACTTGACAGGAGAACGACTAGGGTACTCAAACAAAGCCTTCGATTAATTGTACACCCGAAATACAGCGGGTCTTGCACATGGTCAGTTCACTTGCTCATGCGGATTGGTGTCCTGGAACTTAGCAGGTAGAAGGGCGAAACCCAACTCCCACCCAGCGGTCGCCACGAGGAAGCGTCCAGGACATGAGCCAATGGCACAACAGTAGCAGCAGTGGGTAGACCATGTGTCAGGATCTAGCCACCACCGACCTCAGCGAACCATAGGCTCTCCCGTCCGATATATATATATATATATATATATATATATATATATATATATCCGTCCGGTTGTCAGGTTGAGTGCTTGTGTTGCTCCTTCATTGTCCTTCCAATATTTTGTGAAATGCGTCTACTTATGTAACCATTCTTTTCGTTTAAGTTTTTGGCAAGTTTTTCATTTGCTTTATTTTTGCCGCAGTTCTGTTTTGGAGCCCGGTTGTTTGATGCATTTCTGTTTTGTTTTGGGTTCCACTAATGTAGTGGGACATGTCTTTCATTGCAAATCCCGTACACTTTTCCTATCGTTCTTTCACCTTCACCCCCCAACGCACTTGTTGCTCTATTTTTCACAAAATATGACTGTTCCGCATCCCAATCGACCGAACACAATCGTATCGTGCGTAAACTTGTATCTATTTTGTTATTACTCTCAACGGAATTCTTTTTAAGTCCAGTTGGTACATACATGCGTCTGACATTTCTCTAACACGAATCTCCTTGACGAGATTGCTTTACTTATTGATTTGAACGCTTGGTACTCATTGGTATGTAAACGCGCACTTTTTAACTACCTGGCAAGTGTTTTGATCCACAACTTCTTCAGCGAACTGGTTATTACCTAGTGCCTCAGTTCATTGTGGGTCCAAAGCTGTGATGAGAACTCATGATTGGCATGTTATACACACTGACCAATTTTACTAATCACCCTGCTGAATTCAGAGCAAATGCTAACGAGTGCTATCGCTATTGTTGTTGTATAGCCTCTTGTTTCTACGTAGCATACTTTTCTGCTGCGGTCATTGGCAGTCGCCCTTAGATGAACTTTCATTCATGGCCGCTACAAATAGGTAAGCGAACAGTAATGCTCTCTTCAAAAAGTGCGGGGTTGTGCCACGGAGCGCCGTATACTGATCTCCATTTGAGCACATGAAAATGTCATCTTTTTTTCTAGCACGCATTGATTCTGTTTGTGTTGCGCAATAAAACCACAGCGTTTTCTTTGACTGCCTTTCGATTGCGTTCTGGAGTACTAAATTTGCATTGGTGACCAGTATTGTTGTATTTTACTGTCTTCTAGCTAGCGAAACAAACGTAACGTTCCTTAGACCATCCATGTCAGTGCCTATCTGCCAAGCCACCTCTGCAGCTCTTCATAAAGCATGTCCAAATTCCGCCCTATTCCACGGGAACGTAGCGCCCATGAGACTTACCGATCCAAGTGGAGTGAACTCAAGTAATGTCTTCGCGAATTCGTATTCAGACCTGGGGCCGAATTACGACAAGGTATGCGTTTTGTAGGTTCCACCTGTTTGTTCTTCTCCTATTTGTTACTTACTGGTGTGGCCTTTCATGCGGACTATTCGCTCATTAATCTAGGATTACTTTGTTCGGGGATAAGTTTGCGTCGTACTTGTTTCACGAACAAGATCGCAGCGTGCACTCACTGTTCCTTCCATACACCTGGCTCGCGTTTGCTCTGGCTACTTTTGACCCACCCGGTCTCCTGTGAATGCACCATTTATTAATTACACCTCTCGTATCTCCTGCCATCGTCTACTGTAGTCTTTCCCATATATCTGCTTTGTTGATTCCCATTAGGCTGATTTTCTATTTTTAAATTAAACTGCACAATAGGTTCGACCTATGGAGGGCAGCCGACTTGCGAAAACATAATTTTGGCCTAAAGAGCTAGGATACTGATTGGAGCGGTCATTTTGAAGCACGCACATGAATGGATTGCGACGCGCAATCTCGACGTGGACCGTAACTATACCATTTCTCGGCCAAGTTGTCGTCTTGGGCAACAGAATTAATCTGAGGGGACATCCAACATGAGTCTACTCAATTAATTTGAGCAGTGCGTGTATAGCCCGTCGACATAACTGTCCAAGACCAACTGGAGAAGGCAATTTACGGACTCTGGTATCCGATGATAACAACCTGCGTTATGCACTGGAGACACTGATAAGTGTCACGAAATCCTGTGCTATGTTGCAAGGGTAGTGTGTGACTGACGTAACACGGAAACAGCAAATTCCTCATCCTTGCTACTTGGAGATGTCTGCATTTTTGGTTGCGTCATCTCGTTACAACGCTTGCTTGGGCGACTCCACCCATCCCCAAGTAGAAAGGATGAGGAAGTTGCTGTTTCCGTGTTACGTCAGTCACACACTACCCTTGCAACATAGCGCAGGATTTCGCAACACTTATCAGTGTCTTCTGTGCATAACGCAGGTTGTTGCCATCGCATACCAAAGACCGTAACTTGCCTCGTCCAGCTGGTCGTGGACAGTTATGTCGACGGGCTATACATGCACACCTGCACAGGTAAGTGGCGTGCGCACGGCTCAAATTAATTGAGTAGACTCATGTTGGATGCCCCCTCAGATTAATTCTGTTGCCAAAGACGACAACTTGGCCGAGAAATGGTGTAGAAATTAAAGTGAACCTTGGAAGCGTAACTGATGGAGCAGAAGGATACTGAGTGTTGCTTGGTCGAAAACACTGCACGCTACAATCAGATTTGAACTTATTTGATCACATCAGGTAGAGATGGCAGGGATCGAACCCGGGACCATTAGGATGTTGGTTGTGACCGCTACCCCTGAGCCACCGGGCCAAGACGCGCAACGCTTGGAACAACGGTTAGTGATTGATATTGAGGGTCATTTTGAAGTATACGTTGTGTAGACGGATTGCGACACGCAACCTCAATGTGGACCGCGATTCTCATTGAGGTGAACCTTGGTCTTTCAATCACGAGGGTCGTAGCTGAAGTGGATAAAAATTTAATGGTGGATATTTGTGAGTATTGTAAAGTTCGTAGAAAGTAGAAGTCACGATTAAAATTCACGCACAATAATGTGCATCGACGGGGAATCGAACCCCGGTCCACGAATTTGGTGTTGCCCGCTGTAAACACTACACTCTATGATCAGGTTCGAACTTAATTGCTTACATCAGATAGAGTTAACAGGTCTAACTGCCTGCTGTCTCTTTCTGATAAGATATACTAATTTCGAAATAAACCGTAGAGTGCACTGTTTTCGGGCAGCTGACAGCCGATATCCATCAGCTAGGAGACTGCTTTCAATGAGGTCATGACATTCTGTCTAATGGTTGCACCCCTTAAGTCACTGATCGCGTCTCCTGATTCAGAGGCTGTTGTCATGATATAATACCAGGCACTCTAAAGGAGTTATGATTCTAGCCTAAACCTCACCTCGTTACTTACAACCGTTGGCAGCTTCATGTAGTTGTGTTCATACCTGTGACCTTGTGTCTCTCTTGGCATTTCGCGGATAGACTCTGGTGATACTCCAAAGACAACTGCATCCTTGCCAAACATCTCGGTAGTCCTTATCCAGTTTCTACGACCGCTTTTTGTTTCCGCACATTTATTTGCAGAGGCTGACATCCTTATCTTGTTCACTTTTGGAAACAACTATTGGCTACGACAATGGCAAGCTTTCGCCGTCTGTAAAACCAGACCCTGAGTCCTCATTTTACATGGAGTCCAAAACGAAAGACTCATCAATTTTGGCACCACCTTCGCTGGAAACGCAAGTTTTCGCGGACTCTGTAGACTTGCTCCGTTCGGAAGCCAACGAACGGGATCCTGGTAACACCGTCAATTCCCTGTATGCTGCACAGGAACCCAAGGACGATGAATTCGCATTGCATTCCGCGAACCCAGTGCTAGCCTCTCGACCCCCACCTTTCAAAACAGCACAGTTGCCAAGATCGCATGTAAGCCCACGGGGCCTCCGGAATGTTACCAGAGTTTGTGATCGACAGATCAATGATGGTATGTGTTGCTGTCACGGTATACGTTATATTGTGCATGTTTTCTTTTAACACACTGTCCATCGTACCGAATCGGAGGTGACCAAAGCTGAGGTTATTCAACACTTCCCAAGTTCATCTGCCTTTGTATTCCAGGGTTAAGGGAGGATTGATGCTTATAATTCCTTCTGCGTGTGTGAAGTGCGATCCACATGGTACCAGAATGGAATTCATCCCATAGGAATGCTTGCTTCATTCGTGTGCTTCGCTCTCCTCTTCACAAAACCTACCCTTTAGGTCATATAGACCAAATGGACCACCAATTTTCACGCTAATGCATGCTGCCAATGTATGAGTTACTTTACTATCCTCATCTGACTTTTTATTTGAATAGTCTCGGCCATTGTCCTGCCACATTGATTTCACTTTTTTATGGTGCTGAGTTTGTGTCCAGCGGTTTGTCCATTCGTGACGCTATGCTGAATGAAACATGGTGTATTTCATCCAAATCGCACCACCCCTCACGACTTCGCATTGATCGTGGCCAGTCTTGCGAATCTTCTCTTCTTCCGTATAATCGAAATTGGACCTTTGCTACTAAGAGTTTCCTCTCAATTTTCCATGCCATTTATCCTTCCCTTTTTTGTTTTATGACAACAGTTCTCAAAATTACTTCACCTAGCGTCATCACAAGCCTACGTGTCCGTCTACTGGATGGCTTTAGATAGGCTCATTTTGCCATATGTTGACCTGCTCTACCCATAGTTCAATGTTCTACTCTTCTGCTGAGTGCGGTTTGCATTCATCTCCAATTGCTATTTTTTGTAGTCTTTTCTCTATTATATTCCTACTGTTCTTCTGAGCAGCTCCTATGATTCCCGCATCTGAAACCACGAATCATCGGTCGTCCACTGTGGTATGCGAAGGGTTTAACGCACGATCGACGTACTCACCTCATATTTTCTCCGTGTCCAAGTATGCACCCTTCCCCTCAAGAAATTCCGGTTCAACATACGGTCCCGAAAGGAGGCAGCAACTACATATGTCGAATGCCGCGCCAACAGATCGGTTGCAGTACATGCTGTTTAAACACCGGTTAAAGTTAGCCCGTGCGAAGCAAGCCTACATTCTACGGCGGCGCGTGGTACGGCAACTGGAGAGTCTTCTCCAGCAAGCCTCGTCGTTGAAAGTCAAGGTAAGCCCTGCTTTTTGCACGAAGCTCACTCACTGTGTTCTATATTGACCATAAACTAGAAAACTTACTGTTTGCAAATGTTGCAACGATTGGAATTCAAGAGGGAATGCTGACACGCTGGAATATATTTTGCACTCTGCATTCTCTCATGACCGAAATACACCGAACAGATTTAACAAAAAGATAGTTGCGAAGAAAGTTCTCTTCGATAAGTCTCCTCAGACATGTACAATTATGAATCAGGAGGACATTTGAATAATAAACTATTTCTAGCTGAGCACATTCTAACCGAGTCGATTGAGTGAGGTGGCGTATTCAGTGGCGAAGTTTGGATATCATCATGGATCAATTAGGCTGAAGTCAGCTGTATGCTCCATGGCCATGGCAAAGTCCAATTACGCACCAGCGCCTTCTGTTTGCATAGCTCTGACTTCAGCCTTCTGATCGCGATGGCTTCCGCAGTTACCAGCAAATGCTTTCTGAGTCCCTTAGGGATCCGTTTAGATACAGCATAAAATGTCTTGAAAGCGTCCTTGTTTTGAACACGGTGTCCACTGCTCACAGGTCTTCTAAACTGGAGCTCTGAACCGTTTGGACAGTACCATGCCGTATAGAGGCAGGGCAATGCTCCGCTATCCGCCTGGACACTCGTCTGCTCGTGTGTCCGATGTACCGTGTACCACAGGTGCAGGTGAACTGTTATAGAACATAGGATTCGGACAAGACCGGAATTTTGTCCTTGAGACTTTGGGCTATGAGCGGAGCAATCTCGCTAAGGACGTGCACTCCGACTGCTGGGTACGTCTGGTTCACTGCGAAATAGGTGGCATTGAGATCGCACTGCCAGACATGTCCGTTTTCCCTGAAGATTCGTCGCAGTTAGACTCAAACGGACAGCCACTACACATCCAGGAAAGCACTTTCCTGGATGTGTAGTGGCCGTCTGTCTGATTCTAACTGTGACGAATCTTCACAAACCCAATAAATTCCCCTATTGCTTCAAAATAGGCATGTCCGTTGTTCGGCACCACTGACCGGGCAAAGGTGTGGGGTGGCTCTATACTTACCGCAATGATTTCCTATGCGAGCCCGTAGAGGATCCGGTCAACACGGTATAGGCTTTTCTTTGGTGTTATCTACGTTCAAAAGGCGACAACGCTTGCTTTGTGATAGTCGTTTATAACCATCCCTTTTCCACGCCCGAGATGGACTTTTGTCTGGCATCTGCACTAAGGCGCGGGACAAAGAAGGATTACAGTCACTTTCTTATTACTGGCGATTTCAACATCCAGCCTCTGGAATCCAAAGCTGCTCCTGTAGTACACTCCAGAGAGCGTCTACTATAAGCTCTCACCAATTTCCCGCTATATGAACACATCAGCAGTCCCACAAGATCCAGAAAAACTGATAGGCCTTCTATACTGGACCGGATATTTATCAGCGGCGAACTGATGATCGGGAGGGTTATCATCGACGTCCCATTGGGCCGCAGCGATCATGTAGTCCTAATCTTCGGATACATACGCTATGCAGTATATCCCGTGGAAATTGCCGACGCAACGAGAATGTATGTACACTACGACATATTAGCTCGAATAGGTGAGACGATTAACTGGAAATTTCTGGCAGACGAGGCATCAGTTTGTGCATGGGAACGTTTTGTCAGCCAGTTTAACTTCTTGCTTGCCGAAATGTCAGCGACTAAGACCTTCCGCCCGAAAAACGTGGTCTCGCTTCTGCGAAACGGAGCATGCAAGTGCATAGCGTTGCATAGCAGTACGTATGACCTCAAATCACAAGCTTCCGTAGCAACATTTCAACAGTCTACGTAAGGGAAAACGGGAAATTTCTCCTCTTCACACTGTGGACGGACCTACGCGGACATCGAAGGAGGCTGCAAATACACTATGCCTACAATATGCTGCAACATTTCAGTGCGATTACCGGCCACATAACCTTATGACAATGGTTGTTGCACCCGCAAGGCACTCACGTATCCTTCACGGCTGAAACTGTACTAAAAATGCTGTTGTGTAGTGTAAACACAGCTCATTTGGAGTTGTTAATATACACCTAAATTCGCTTGCGGCGGTATTTGAGAGAGTAACTAGGCCTTTGGTTTGATTCTTTTAACATTGCTTTGCCAAAATGTACGTACCCGACATGGGAGAACACGGGATGATTACTCACGAGGTAGGTAGTCGTCCCAACTACCGTCCCATAACCATATTACCGGTACTTTCAAAGGTCATGGAAGCTATTATTTCTGATGCGCCAACGGCCTGCTTGAAAGAATTTAACTACAACATGACTTCCGACCCAATCGTTCGTGCACTACAAATCTACTGCTAACAACATCCAGTTGGAGCAAGGTAGTTGCTACTTTCTCGGTTGAGGTAATTTTTATCGACTTCCTAAAGAGGTTCGACCAGTTAGAAGATGACATTCTTCTCCCCAAGCTCCAGACTTTTGGACGTTTTTGTCCAGATAGACCTTGGATCTTTGAATCAGGCTGAGCAGGCATCAAAAATGGGCATCCAAGACGCGGATCTCCTGCGAGGTGCGTTCGGACGATTCTGCCCTTTGATTTTTCAACTGCTTCCAGGCTCATAGATATATCCACATGTGGGATACGCAATACAGGTCTGTCAGCGATGGCTGAGAAGAGAACTCACCGCCTTGGAGACACCCCAACACCTAGCAAACAGGATTATCAAAGATTTGTGCCATTTACCGTATGAAGGAAGGCTTCGAGTGCTCGGGGTCTTCCACGGACATACCGGTGACTGCGTGGGGACCTTGTTTTAACTTGCCAGATTTTGAGAGATCCCAACTACACGTGCCGCCATTTGCTAGAACTCGGTTACAACAGTAATCTGAGACGCCGCCATCTCAAGCTGGCAGAGCAATAGTCGAGTGGAATGCCGTCTGAGTTTCTTTTCCGTGCGTGTTTGCCAAGCGTGGAATGCTCTGCCGGAATCTGTAATTTACGCTCCCAGGCTGGTAGAGTTGAAAGCCCGAGTTGACCGTACACTCATTTCGCTGTACCATCTCACATGACTCATTGCCCATGGCTGAACAAGTGTTTGTTAGAGATTTCACTACGCGTCAACTCCCAGATTACATTCCACCTTTTTCACCTCTTGAATGTGCTCACCAGGAGCCGGTAAGGTTTTTACCAACTTCCCATTTGTCGTCATTCTTTATGAACTTACAGTGGATTTACACTTAATTATACGTATACTGCGGCAAGTCCTCCTGTCTGAGCCTACCTACGCTGACAATTTTCTCTATGCCTTGAGTTTTCATCATAACCACCCTACGAAGCGTCCGTACTGCATTCTGGCGTGCTGCTGATGTCCTTACATAATGCTCCGCAATGTTTTCTTCTGTAAAGCGACCCTCCAGCTAGTACGATGCTTTTGAGTAGGGTTGTTGTGCTCTTTGTATATTCGCATCAGTTTATTTATTATGGTTTAACTTTGGAAAATAGAGTGTTCAGTGGAGAAAAAGCACACAGGGATTTTAAACTGTCGCGAGTGTAGGTTATCGTGACCTTGGCTATTGTATGGCTTATTGTAGATAAACAAACGCGAAAAGTTGCCGTAAGTGTCAGTGTGAGTGATTACGTGGATAGAACCGAAAAGCACAGCCAAGTTTGAAGGCCCCGCTGGAGTTGGTTTACCTTCCGGAGCTTGTTTGCAGAAACGGTGCATTCAAATTAAGGTAGCGCAGAATAGGATGCTCACGGAACTATTGTTTATGGCGTGGTCATTAAGCACCTGTCGATCACATGAATTATCATCTTGACTGGCCAGTGTAAACTAAGCATGTTAGATACGGTCTTTTCCGGAGTAAGAATTCCGTCAGTGTTCTATTGTCTAAGCTTTACATGCAGATACACGCCCCGGATCCAAGTATATCTTATCTGTATGTCTAATCCCATCCAGCGTTGGAAATTATCTGGTTCAAGATTCCACTACAGTGTAACGAATTGGATGCCTGATTTGATAAGTCCATCGCAGTTTCCTTCTATCACCTATTACGATTCTTGCTTGTGATGGGCGCTGGCGGTGCACTCAAACATACCAACAAACTTTATGGTGGTCACAAAATGTCTGCGGCGCCAAAACAGGTGAAATAATTGGGACTTGGGACAAAGCGGTCGGTGCAGGATGACATCCCAACCGCTGCCACGCGCGCCACTCTTGGGACTTGAGTCCGGCATCGAAACCAAATGTCGGCCGGTGACCGAGTGGTCTGCACGTTTGGTTTGCAACCATGAGGTCACCGGTACGAATCCGCGTAGGGGTGGGCGTCCTCGCGGTATGCTCAGCTCGCGCGCGACTGGTGGTGGTCGGGCGGCAGCGAAGCGCCGTTACGGCGTGCAGCTGACACATTATCTTATTATTGTAGTACATTTTCACTAGAGATGACAGCGTCAAATATAATCCTATTTCAATTGCGAATGGTGCTTCTAGTGACTGCCCACCCCAACGTGAATTGCGATTACTACTGGTATCGTCAGCCTTGGTCCCGACGCAACGGACATTTTTAAATTCGTGTCGATCTTTTGTTAATAATGAGCCTACTATCGCGTTAGAAGTAGTACATCCTTCGCAAAATGCCGTTATCGGTACGCATCCAGTGTTCGTGAGCGATAAGTGAGACGCCTTTAAATGTGGCTGTCTCACAAATCGCAACTGCGACTTCCTTCCGCCCTTCTCACTCGTTTAGCCTAGATTGAGATAATAGTTGGTGGTAAAAAATTTTCATAACTGCTGCAGGTTTCCAGGATACGTTAGCCACTGGTCTACAATATTCATGATGTGCTTTGGAAATATACGCTTTTTATCTCCTTCCATACCTCAATTCCTTGCAATTCACTCTGGCTTGGTCTTGTATAGCCATACAAAGAATGTGCACTGTTTGTTTTAGCGGCTTCCTCTGTTGTTTACGACGTCATTTTAGGAAACCCATAGTAACCTCCTTTTAGTTGTGCCGCTGGACATCTGCATCCGATTTTGCTCAGCTCTTAGGACAGGTGTCAAACTTACTGAACAGTATATGTTGAGCTCATTTCTTCCTGTACCGTCTCGCAAAACCCCATTTTCATGCGATCTGAAGCTACACTCACTTCCATTACGACTTTCACGCAATTTCTGTCATGTCGCTCTCTTGTATTTTCCGAATTATCTGGTTTATAACCTGGGCTGATATGCTTCACCTTTCTTCACCGGAAAGTTAGTTTTGTTATTTCTGACCGATATTTGACCATTAATATATCGTTTTGAGCTATAGTGCAACCGAGTTTCCAAACATAATTCTTTTACTTAAGTTGGTAGGATTTTCGTGTTACATGTTTTAAGCTTGCTTTGTCACCTGGTCAGTTTTTAGCTTGAGTTGCCGGTGTGTCAGGATGATTGAGACACGTTTGCGATGTGTGCCATTCACTTGGTTACACAGAGCAATAACTCTTCATGCATAAGTAATGCATATTTTTGCCTTGTGATAACATTATACACAGCAGGGCAGCTTCATTTGTGTACACCAAAGGGGTTCATTCTTCCTAGTTTTACACAGTGCATTCAACAGGAACGAGTTACCATCAAACAATGGACGTTTTTTGACCTCAGTTGTCTTGTGGTCACACACCCAGTCGTTAGAGTGAAGCCACTGAGGCGCCTATGTGTTTCATGTAGATACCCACGAAGTTCTCTTTCACTTAGAAGCACTACCAATGCTACCAAATATTCTCTTTCCCAGTTGTATGGTGCATCACAGGGTTTTCCGTTTGTGTGAGGTCTCCGGTTAATCAGTTGATTACCGGTTCAGGGACTTTTTCTCTCAGTTTTCTCTCATTTCTATGTGTGTTGGTATTGATCACTATTTCATCACTTTGTCATATCGCGCCCCCAGTCGATTCCTGACGATTGGGACACCGAAACTTCCTCCCTCTTGACGGAAGTAACAAGTAAAGAAAACGAAGTTGGTTATCCTGAGGTGGAAGATGGCGCAGCACGGATAGGCGGACAACACCGAAAGGATGGTGGTTCCCGGTTTCATCTCGCCGGTGCCGCAGAAAAGGCACCTGCCAAAGACGGCCAGTCGCTGAATAATAGAGACACTGTGTCTTCTGTTGCAAAAGAGAGCTCCGGTGGGTCCGACACTGATGAATCGAATTCACATTGTTCCTTTTGTTGAGGCAAATCTTATTTTGCACGCGAATGAACGGAACTCATTTTCTCTATGTCGATGGTTGGCTCTGATCCGCATGGTATCCAGCGTCCGTCCACTCCTATGGAAAAGAGATGCGCTAAGTGCTCACCATAATTCACGTAGACTGAAGGTTTACAGCGCGTAATGTGGTAGATTAAACAATGGGTGGTCATGGGTCAAAACGCTCGTCTTTGACGTATGCCATAGGATGAAAGCGTGGATAATTTAGAATAGACAGTATCCTCAATTAAAGTAAGCAAGCATTAGTGCGCTTGCCGGGAACTAAACTGAACATATATATATATATGTATGTAAATATATGGGTGAAATGTGTCGCCTTTTCGAAAGTTGAAGGATACGGACTACAGCTTATCACTCGGAAAAAGACGAGCTAGTCAAAAGCACTGAGCTCATGCTGAAGTCGATATTACAGTCGTTTAGGAATAGCGAGACGCCTCATGAATGGGACGCAATCCTACCTGAATGCTTATCGGCTTATCGAGCATCTGTCCACCCATTGACCGGGCAAACACCACACCTTGCGATGACTATTCGTGAGTTGCGCCTGCCATCGGATACTTTATTGCCTACGCCCCAGCATAAACACCGAATCGCACTGGATTATACACTTCGGTACAGTCCAGTCTGCCACAGGTGCACCTGCTAGGCAGACCAGGTACATAGTCCTCGCGGCCGTGATAGGCTCAAAGATTGGTTCCATCCAGTGTGGAGCGGACTACGCCCATCCACTGCCTTGTGTAAGTATGGTACGCATGATTCCCCAAGTAGACTGACAGGAATACTGTTACTGTGCATGTTGACAGAGGGTGAACCAACTCCGTTGATTAAGCGGGGCTCCCATCCACATGCTTTCCCGTCCTATTCAGTCGAGTTTACACTTGATATGGGGTTTGTGAACGGTGCAGCACAAGTCACACATGGTCCCTCTGTAAGTGCAGACGTCTTGTCGCTGTCCCATGGAGGCCACAGTAGTGCACAAATCAGGGACCCGATACCACCAACCATGTATGTTGTGTTTAGTCTGCTCCACCGCAGTTGTGTTAGTGTGACTTACACTTAGATTTTGCTGCAGTTCACTAGATCTGAATTAATCCATTTTAATTTGTTTGCCCAGCTCCCTTAATCCTCCGCATAGTTCCCATTTCTTTCGCGCGTTTTCTCGTCGTAAACTTCCGCCCAAGTATAAGTCAATTTACTTTGCCTGAAGAAGGTTTTGTGTCAAAAGTGGTACGTGGCGTGCGCAACAAATACACTAATCGATCATTCACCTGCATTCTGAAGCAGAGTTTTGATATCAATTATTGTTGGAATCACGCAGTAGCTTCTATATCACATTCTACTCCAGTTCCCAGGAAAAACACAACATTTCCGGCGTTACTGGTCTCGTCGGTAATGCGCATCCATCGGTCCCATCAGGATTCAGACCTATAACCACTAGTGATTTTTGCCAAAAGTCCGCAGCTATTCCACGAGGCCTTGGGGACAGGGGTGAATCGTCATGATATGCAAGCGAACTACGATGTAGTGCGTCTTGTCCTCCACTGCCATGGAAGTACTAAATGTTTAAGTGGAGACAATTGGTCATGAAAGACACGACATCCAGTGACAGTAGCTATACACTCTTACTTGCTACTGCGAAGAAATCTCCAACAGTTCTTTTTCGCATTGCACACACTCCGTTGTTAGTTGTTCTTGTGTGTTTCGATTGATCAGTAAGCAGTAGACGATGTAGTAAAACAATACTGGCGTCAAATCTCTATTGCGGCCCAAAACATCTAACGTTAGGAGCCACCGGGTCTCCGTGTCTCGGGGACCCTATCCTAGAAATCGGACCTGTCCGGCTGGTGATGAACACAAGCTTACCTTCATCGTGCTGGTTTTCTACCCCGGCAATTCTTCTAATTGCTTCCGGTAAGGGAGAATAACACTTGTCGGGGAAGACGATAGGATGACATATGCAATACGTTACCGAACAAATGCATACGGGGTCGGAGAACAACATTTTGGAGGCAGGAAATGTAAAAATGATAAATAATTTGGCAGCTGTATGTCGTAACTGCGTTTCATTGCCACACGACCACTAACAGTCTCGCATGGGCTAGGTATACCGCAAGGACGATCGCCTCTACGCAGACTCGAACCGGTGGTCTTATGGTTGCAAACCAGACGCGCAGCCGGAAATGTCCGCACTAAGCACTCAGTCACAGACTTCTGGATTGCCTACGTGATGTTGCCAGTCTACACGAGCAATTATTCGCCGATTACGATTTTTAAAATCTGTCAGTCGTTTCATGCTTTCAGAGCGAATAGGCCAGGTCTCACAGCCGTACGATTGTAGCGTACCGTCGGAGGCATAGTACATTCTGACTCTAAGCTTGAGCCTCTCATTTCGACGCTGCCATAGATATTCTAGCTTGATAAATGAGAGGCGGACCTTTGCGATCCGTTGCGAAACCCCATCTCCAACACCGCCAACAGTCGCGACGCAACTCTCTTGTTGCAGAATGTCACCAGCAATGGTGAGCGCACGCGCGGGCGCCTACCAATCCCAAAGACGTGTTTTACATTTGGTTGAGTTGAAATACAGGTAGTACTCGGATACCTCTATCACTAAGCAGTTCAAAATGGCTTAGGCAACTTGAGGAACGTTCCTCAATCATGCGATATCATCGGCGCAGCCAAACTCCTCAAATCTGTGGCCGGGGAGAAGCTCAACGCCGCTGCTCTGGACACCAAGTGCTTCTTGGCAGACGTATTCAATGCCAAAATTGAAGCGGAAGTTGACATAGGGCAACATTGACGAACGCCGCTGAGGACAGTCAACGAAGCGGAGTGCCTGCCATAAGCCTAACCTTTCCAGGCGTGTGACCGCACGGTTCCCACAGAATGGCTTCACACTTGTCGAGTTCAGCTTCCATTAATATGCGGTCTTACAAAGCTGATCTATCTACTGAATCAAATACCTCCCGGAGGTCCAAATACACCAGGATTGTTGGTCGTCGATGCGGCGTATGGGCCACCATATCCGAGCAGTGTTCACACCGAGCATTAACCATGTGCGTGTCTGTCTACTAATTACCCACTAGTCAGTGACCTCAGTCACTTGATCGATGCTCTGTGCGCATTCTGGCCAGAATGCAGGTTTGCCTTCTACCAGCTGGTTATGTTCTGTTGTCCTTAAGTTGTTGGGCTAGAAGCCATCACTGCGTTCGTAGGCTAGCGTCAGTTCCGAAAGTTAAGACTTTAATATTAGCGACGGAGTCTATATCCGGAATTATTAGTTATGAGTGACCTTATTCCACATGATCCGTTTTGGAAATACGCGGCTTCCAAGCCATCCCTCGCAGTTTGGACTCGGTGAAAGAGAACATTCTGTGAATATCTTGAACTCTTCTAAATTTCAACTTCTTTGTCGAGAATAAATCAATCTTTTAAACTGTGGAGACAACATTTGGTTGCAAAGGGCCAGGGGCATTTCAATGCGCTACGATTGTACGAAAACACTTCCTTGTCACATTGTTTGAAATCTCCGGATTGTCTTTGGGGCTTATAATAATATGTGTTTACTGCACGAATAAATTTTTCTTAACTACGTCAGGGAGACGAAGATGGTAACGAATTTATAACCCGCATACAACAGTCCCTGCCTGATTGCCGTTATAATGAGATACCATCTCCGAAATTTGAAGAGGTCATGGCTATCCACTGCCCTCTAGTTGCCATTCACGACAACTAGGCGCGAGGACGTTTACTGTCGGACGACGAGAGTAAGCTTACTTGGAAAGCCGCATGCACATTAGTGAGGCAAAGAGAAAATGCGGTTCAACAATTACTTCATCACCGTCCAGACGTAATCCAGGCGGTCCAACCTCGATTGTAGCCGGACAATAAACGTTCCTTTATGTGTTAGCGTGGAGAAAGACAGGAAAGAGTACCTGATTGTAGGCACAAACAATCCACTTGCTACCAGTGTGGCAAGGTCTGGAATCTTGCCCGTGTTTTCTGCCCAACAGAGTTGCCACGTCAGGTCTCTTACTCCTAATGGGCACGATTCCCTGAATTCGCTCCTCTATCTTGAGGGCAAGCCATTCGGCCACATGCTCGGGGTGGTGTCCCCTAAGTCAACACACTACTTCGGCTTGGGCAGCCGGGTAGTACCTCGCCCTCTGACAAAACCATGGACTCATCCATGTTGTGTTGTGTTTTTTGATGAAATCTATACCTTCCTTTAAGTTCCATAGTTTTTGCTGGCTCCATGCCTAGTCGTAGGCTGTTGCTTATATATATATATATATATATATATATATATATATATATATATATATATATATATGTCACTCTCCACCAAATACTGTACAGACAGCAGAGCATTCCGATGAGTCTATAGCTTATATGGTTTCACATAACCCCACATCGCATGTACGCGGAATACCTCCATACACTGTGGCACTGGAGATTGCAGGCCAAGCTGTGTGCCTAGAAATCGATACGGGGGGTCTCGGTCACGTAAGTCAACAATCGTACACTGCCTGGCCTGCCGCTGATCCCGACACAGACTATTTTACGTTCTTATACTGGTGAATCGTTTGATGTACTGGGGATGTGTGAAGTAAGAGTTACTCGTGGGGCCGACACTTTTGTTCTTCCCCTAACTGTAGTCAACCAGTTGCCTCGAACTTCGCTTGGTAGAGACTGGCTCAAACATATGCCAGAGCTACTTCAAACCGTAAAAATGTGACTATTTTCCAGACATCCATCCATTGTTTTGAATGTGCACTTGTATGTTTGATGAAACATCGCCCGGCAGGCTATCATCTTATAAAATATCAGACCGAACATCCAACCGAAATTTTTCAAACCAAGGAGTTTATCTTTTGCTATCCGTCCGAAATTTGAGTGAGAGCTGGAGCGCCTCCA